CCCTGGTCTGTTGTAAAGCCTATATAAAGGTAAAGGGACCCCTGACCATTAGGTCCAGTCGTGACCGACTCTGGGGTTGCGGCGCTCATCTCACTTTATTGGCCGAGGGAAACGGCGTACAGCTTCCAGGTCATGTGGCCAGCATGACTTCTGGTGAACCAGAGCAGTGCACGGAAACGCCGTTTACCTTCCCGCTGGAGTGGTACCTATTTATCTACTTGCACTTAGATGTGCTTTCGAACTGCTAGGTTGGCAGGAGCAGGGACCAAGCAACGGGAGCTCACCCCGTCGCGGGGATTCGAACCGCCAACCTTCTGATCAGCAAGTCCTAGGCTCTATGGTTTAACCCACAGCGCCACCCGCGTCCCATAAAGCCTCGTTATTGGTGCCAAAAACCCTTCACCATGCAGAGCGCCTCTATTCCGTGGCTTGCTCATTCACTGGCCGAATCTGAGAGTGGGCGGTCCTTAAACCTTCCCCAGCAGAGTAGTTTTTTGACGCCCAGTCTGCGCCTCCCCTCTCTGCGCGGAAGCCTACTGCGCAAGGAAGGCGTGGGTAACGGAGGACCTCTCTCCTCCCTGCTTTGCTCAGGCAAGGTGTCCTGGCACCGCCTCGCCTCCTCCGAGCCCTGCATCTCCTCTCCACTAGAGGTGTTATGTACTGAAGTTCTCACCCTGGGCCAGCAGGAGGATACTGTAGATAGTTCAGGTCCACATATGCAAATAAGGGATCAAAAGTAACGTTCAGTGATTGGATAGTTATAGAAAATGGTTACTGTTGCATTCTAGTGGAGCTCTATATAAGCAGGCTGGCTGAACCCTTCAGTTCAGTTCTGTTCTGGCCTGTGAATAAACAAGAGCTGTTTGAAGAATCGCTGTGTTGTCTGATATGTTCACCCACAACTTAACAAGAGGCGTCTCCTCCGTTGAGGAGGTGCTGCTTCCCACGATCTTTGGGGGCTCTCTGTAATCCATCTGGCTTTTCCCCTCTCGCCCCTGAGCCGATGGCAGTTCCCTGACAGCTAGCTTGCTGAGGATATGGGATTTCAGGACTGTGAATACTCTAGGGCAGGGATCTTGTCCGCTAAATGTTGCTGAACTCAGTGACGTAGCGTGGGGGGTGCAGGGGGGGCCGGCCGCACCGGGCGCAACATCTGGGGTTAGGGCAAATCCATGGGTTAGGGGGCGCAAATCCACAGGTTAGGGGGCGCAAATCCACGGGTTAGGGGGCGCAAATTACTTGCCTTGCCCCGGGTGCTGACAACCCACGCTACGCCACTGGCTGCACTACAACTCCCATCATCCCTGACCATTGGCCATGCAGACTAGGACCCATGGGAGTTGGAGATCAATACCTGCAAGTTTCCCACTCCCAGGGACAGGCAAGTGATAGGCTTGGGGCTCCCCAACTTAAGGACCTGCCCTCCTTTCATTTTGCATCTCAGGTGTTTTCTCTACTGCAAATAGGCAAATAGCAATTTAATCCCACCTTCCCCATGAGAATGGCCCTAGAGGCTCTTGGACCAGAGAGACCTGGGTTCAAATCCCCATTCAGTGGGCCAGTCACGATCGCCTAGCACTTCCTTAGCTCATAGGACGAGGCTTGGGCAGATTAAGATGGAGCTGCTGTGATACACAATACAGAGGAGAAGCTCTTGCCAGTCCCTCTGTTGTGTTTTATACCAGGGGCTGAAAGAGTCCTTGTCTCTGTTGGGCTTTTGGAGGGTCAAAAGGGTGGGAGGAGCCAATATTGCTGGCCCTTCCATCCTTGCACAGTTAAAAATAGGGCCCTGCTTTAAGAAAACCAGTTGCTAATTGCTAATTGGGAGCATGCCCTGTCTTCCAGAGGAAAACCGAGATTCAGTTGTTGAACTCCAGCTCCTGCTGTCTATGAACATTGGCCATGATAAAGGTAAAGGTAAAGGGACCCCTGACCATTAGGTCCAGTCGTGACCGACTCTGGGATTGTGGTGCTCATCTCGCTTTACTGGCCGAGGGAGCCGGCATACAGCTTCCGGGTCATGTGGCCAGCATAACTAAGCCGCTTCTGGCAAACCAGAGCAGCACACGGAAACACTGTTTACCTTCCCGCCGGAGTGGTACCTATTTATCTACTTGCACTTTGACGTGCTTTCGAACTGCTAGGTTGGGAGGAGCAGGGACCGAGCAACAGGAACTCACCCCGTCGCAGGGATTTGAACCACCGACCTTCTGATCGGCAAGTCCTAGGCTCTGTGGTTTAACTCACAGCGCCACCCGCGTTCCTAGATTGGCCATGATAGCTGGGGCTAATGCAAGTTGGAGTCCAATAGCATCCTGGAGGTTGCCCATCTCTTACTTGCACAAAGCAACCAAATCCTGTTTTTCACGTGTTCACAGTGTGTGCACTTTTAATTCTTCTGCTGTGGAGTATAGGGTCAGGTTCAAGGTGCTGGTCTTGACCTGTAAAGCCCTTTGTGGCTTTGGGCCCTTGTATTTACGGGACCGCCTCTCCTGGTATGCCCCGCAGAGGACCTTAAGGTCCATGAATAACCGTAGTTTAGAGGTCCCGGGCCCTAAGGATGTCAGACTATCCTCCACCAGGGCCAGGGCCTTCTCAGTGATGGCTCCGACCTGGTGGAATGCTCTGTCCCATGAGACCAGGGCCCTGCAGGATTTAACCTCCTTCCATTGGGCATGTAAGACAGAGCTATTCCGCCTGGCCTTTAATTTGAATTTTATTTCCCTTCTCTTCCCTCCCCCTCCCCTTTTATGAAGATCACCTTCTCTGAGACCCCACAGCTAATTCTCCCCTGGCCTCCTCGCTGGCCCAAGTAGGACCAATTCAGCCAGCTAGACCTGGGGATTATCTAATGCTTATTTCCCCTAAAGTGATTTTTGAATTTTATTGTAATTCATGTTTTTATATTGTATTTTATGCTGCTTTTACAATTAAGTGTTTTAAATTTGTTGTTAGCCGCCCTGAGCCCGGTTTTTGAACCGGGAAGGGTGGGGTATAAATAAAAAATATATTATATTATTATATTATTATATTATTATTATTATTATTATTATTGCTGTGGAGGGCAGAACCTCTGTGAGCTTGAGCCTTATCTCCCGACCACGCAAAGTCCTGGCCATCCTCTCTCTGAGCTCCTGAGATTCCACCCGGCAATGCCCACACAGATTCATATTCTTATCTTCGCAGCAAGGAATTTCCTTATTTAATTAACAGGAAAGATAAGTGGAGATCACCAGGGATGCAAATGTTGTATCCTAATGCCACAGGGTGATTGCAAATCTACATACTGTATTATAGATTTGGGAGGGGGATGCTACCGAAAACCCCAGAAATTAATAAATGATAGGATTTTGAGTATGTGGGATGTGAAGGGAGAAATGCGAGTTGCAGAGGAATTCTTGGGCTAGCTCATGCAAAAAAAACAAAAAAAAACCAACGGCCACGCCAAGCTAGGGCCATCAAGAAACAATACAGGGCCATTGAGGACCATTGGCAATGCAAGAGAACTGTCCCCACCCCCTCGCCCCAGGTGTGAACAGAGACAAGGGGTTTGGAAGAGTTAATTGGGTGTGAGGTGACAGGAAAAGAGAGTCTTGAGCAAGTGTTGCTGGGAAGAAGGAAGAAAGACTGGGATCCATCTTGGGCAGGCTGGCTGAAGGCTGCCAGGCAGAGATACCTTGGACTCTAGGGTTGCACTGCTGTGGGGTGCAAGCCCCTCTTGAAATGAGCGTGTTGTAAGAGCTGGACTCCCTCCATGGAGACATAAGGTGTAAATAGGTGAGTAAATCATATTTCTTAAAGCAACGACAGTCTCCGCCATGTCTCAGTTCTCCCAAGGACCACAGACCCTGCGTGAATGCCTGGAACCCCCTGGAATCTTGCTGCAACTCAGCAGGGAGAAGGGGAGGCACCCAATTTTTGTAACACACACAACACAGAATGCTGTGTTCCTTTGTTGGGTCCTTTGTTTCTTGCATACTCTGCAGTGTGCCTTAATGAACTATAGTTTCCAGGATTCTTGCATGGGATTCTTGTGTATCCAGGGCAGCTGTCTACCAACTCCACCTGGTACGCAGGCTGAGACCCTATCTGCCCGCAGACTGTCTCGCCAGAGTGGTGCATGCTCTAGTTATCTCCCGCTTGGACTACTGCAATGCGCTCTACGTGGGGCTACCTTTGAAGGTGACCCAGAAACTACAACTAATCCAGAATGCGGCAGCTAGATTGGTGACTGGGGGCAGCCGCCGAGACCACATAACACCGGTCTTGAAAGACCTACATTGGCTCCCAGTACGTTTCCGAGCACAATTCAAAGTGTTGGTGTTGACCTTTAAAGCCCTAAACGGCCTCGGCCCAGTATACCTGAAGGAGCGTCTCCACCCCCATCGTTCTGCCCAGACACTGAGGTCCAGTGCCGAGGGCCTTCTGGCGGTTCCCTCATTGCGAGAAGCAAAGCTACAGGGAACCAGGCAGAGGGCCTTCTCGGTAGTGGTACCCGCCCTGTGGAACGCCCTCCCATCAGATGTCAAAGCGACATTCAGAAGACATCTTAAGGCAGCCCTGTTCAGGAAAGTTTTTAATGTGTGACATTTTAGTGTATTTTTGGTTTCTGTGGAAGCCGGCCAGAGTGGCTGGGGAAACCCAGCCAGATGAGCGGGGTACAAATAAATAATAATAATAATAATAATAATAATAATAATAATAAAAAATGTATGGTGTAGATGTGACCCGAGGCTGCCGACTGACACCTTAGATGTTATGAACATCTTTTCTCTCTGGGCACAGAAGGTGCCACTCAGTTTCCCCTAGGGCTGGGTCCCTCAATTTGACATGGAAGCCCAGTTCCCATCCAGCTATGATGTTAAACGCTCTCCTTGTTTCCTTACAAGGGTGGAGGACAGGGCAAGAGATAGAGACCTGGCTCACTGGTCTCCTCCCCTCGGCTGCATAGAGACCCTCCCTACTTAGAACAAAGCGAGTCATCACGCTGTATCACTCACCACATCTGAGTACAACCGATTTGGAATGGTGGGCGTCTGCTGGTCGATGCAAACCACTTTCTTCATATCGTCAAAGCTGGGGTCAATTGGCACCATGTCAAAGAAAGGAGGCTTGTAATCTTCGACAATCCCTGCGATATGAAAAGATGGAGCAACAGGGATGGGGAGAGAGAGAGATGTTTAAGGTCAGGGTGTGCAGATCTATAGGGCATTCCATCCATGTTGCTGTACACCAGGCTGTCTAACTCATCTGCAAATGTGCAATATGTACCTTGGTGTGCTGCAGGTCGCAAGCTAAACTTGAGAACGAGAAATGGCACACAGGGTGAGGATTTGCAGACAGAGGGATAAGGTAAAGGGACCCCTGAACTTAGGTCCAGTCGTGGACGACTCTGGGGTTGTGGTGCTCATCTCGCTTTATTGGCCGAGGGAGCTGGCGTACAGCTTCCAGGTCATGTGGCCGGCATGACTAAGCCACTTCTGGCAAACCAGAGCAGTGCACGGAAACGCCGTTTACCTTCCCGCCGGAGCGGTACCTATTTATCTACTTGCACTTTGACGTGCTTTTGAACTGCTAGGTTGGCAGGAGCAGGGACCGAGCAACAGGAGCTCACCCCGTCGCGGGGATTCGAACCGCCGACCTTCTGATCGGCTGGTCCTAGGCTCTGTGGTTTAACCCACAGCGCCACCTGCGTCCCTAGACAGAGGGATATGTTGATCCAAACAGAAGGCTCCATTTCCCTTTCACTTCTATGGGGAAATGGTCTGCAATCTGGCTGGGGGATACATGCGAAAGGAGTCTATCACACTAGACAATGGTGTCACTAGGAACACAGGACAGGTTTAGCTGCAGTTGCAGTGATGGTGTCTTTAAGTGAATCTCTTTACTTTCTTCCATATGAGAGAATGTTGCAAGGAAGGCACATTTCTGAAACTTGGTTGAGCAGTCTCCACTGAGAATAATTCAGCAGGGGGTACGGAGATACACTATACCTCTAGAGGCCCCTTGAAATATACATGACCTCGCTGAAACCCTCCCCCTTCCTGTCATCACCATATCAGCATGGAAAGCCTTAATCCACAGAAATATTCTTTACAGCAATGATTGAGTGTTTCATCTGTCAGCATATGAAGGATGCTAGTCAATTGTGCCATTTTAAAACAATACGTTTGCTAATGTTGCCTGGGAAAAGTTATACCGAACCTATCTGGCTGCTGTTCCTTTCGGCAGCTGTCAAAAGTGTTTTGAGAAACAAGTAAAGCGCTTCAAATCATTACCGGTGTTTTGAAAACCCCGGTTAGGAACTTGTGTCATGTTGATGGCTAAAGGCATGCAGACCTTAAGGGGGGGACAAAGCTTTAGCTTATGGGTCAGCAACCTTTTCCAGCCGTGGGCCGGTCCACCATCCCTCAGACCATGTGGTGGGCCGGACTATATTTTGAAAAAAAAAATGAACGAATTCCTGTGCTCCACAAATAACCCAGAGATGCATTTTAAATAAAAGGACACATTCTACGCATGTAAAAACACACTGATTCCCAGACCGTCTGCAGGCCGGATTGGGAAGGAGATTGGGCTGGATCCGGCCCACGAACCTTAGGTTGCCTACCCCTGGTTTAGCAGCTCTTTATCCCAGCGCTGCCCCATCCTGTGGGAATCTACAAAGCATGCTATCAGCTCCACACAAATTCTGTTCAAAACATAAAGGGATCTGATAAAGTAGTAAGACCCTGAATGTTCTGATATGCCTCCGTTAAGTTTTTGGTGGCCATTATATTAGAGACGGGATGCGGGTGGCGCTGTGGGTTATATTACAGAGCTTAAGATTTGCTGATCAGAAGGTCAGCGGTCCGAATCCCCGCGATGGGGTGAGCTCCCGTTGCTCAGTCTCTGCTCCTGCCAACCTAGCAGTTCAAAAGCACACCAGTGCAAGTAGATAAATAGGTGCCGCTCCGGCGGGAAGGTAAACGGTGTTTCTGTGTGCTGCTCTGGTTCGCCAGGAGCGGCTTAGTCATGCTGGCCACATGATCCGGAAGCATGATCCCTCAGCCAATAAAGCCACATGATCCCTCAGCCAATAAAGCGAGATGAGCGCTGCAACCCCAGAGTCGGCCACGACTGGACCTAACGGTCAGGGGTCCCTTTACCTTTTTATATTAGAGACAGTGAGAAGTGGGTGACAGCAGCTTGTTTGTATCTTTCACAGTGCAGGCTGTTCCACTAGGCCATGGGTAGGCAAACTAAGGCCCGGGGGCTGGATCCGGCTCAATCGCGTTCTAAATTTGGCCCGCGGACGGTTCGGAAACCAGCGTGTTTTTACATGAGCAGAATGTGTGCTTTTATTTAAAATGCATCTCTGGGTTATTTGTGGGGCATAGGAATTCGTTCTTTTTTTTTTTAATAGTTCGGCCCCCCACAAGGTCTGAGGGACAGTGGAGCGGCCCTCTGCTGAAAAAGTTTGCTGACCCCTGCGTCTGACAGGGGAACTGCTCCACCAACCTCAGTCTGGCGGCCTCAAACAGGGTTACCCTACCTGCATTTTTCTACCAAGCAGTGCAGAGGGTAGCTATGCCTGTCACATTCCTCCTCCTCCTCCATCTCAATGTTGCTTCTTGTGTAACTCGGCAAAGAGAAGGAGGGGGGACGGGACTAGAATTAGGATGGCTTCACCTGTCATTGGCTTTGGCGCCACCTGCTGTTGGTCTCCATGCCTGCAGCCCTACCCGAAACTAGCTGTGATTTTGTGAGATGATTTTCAAAGCCTGAAACACACAGGCAATGATTTGTGGGGAGCAGATATATTTTCTGTTGCTACCTGCGGCGCATGTGCAGCATCATCAGGTATGTAGCGTTAATTTGAGAAAGAAGAGCCCATGCCCATTTTAGAAAGCACCAGGATCCCGTCTGCTCATAATTATCCTAATGATGACCTTTCAGCCTTTCTACTGACTGCTGCTTGTCTGGAGATAGCCAGATGCTGGAAAACCAGTCATGGGTTGAACACTGATTCTTGGTATAACAGAGTATGGTCAATAGCATTAGCTGAGAAACTAACATGTCAGGTGAGAGCGGCAAAGGGCAAGCACAACCAAATTCCTTTTATAACATATGGCAAATGCTTATTGAATACATAAATTGTTCAGACTGTGGCAGGAATCCACCCAGCACTCATGGGAAAATGTGGCATGATCTCTTAAGGACCCCTGACCATTAAGGTCCACTTGCGGCTGACTCTGGGGTTGCGGCTCTCATCTTGCTTTATTGGCCGAGGGAGCCGGCGTACAGTTTCCAGGTCATGTGACCAGCATGACTAAGCCACTTCTGGCGAACCAGAGCAGCGCACGGAAACGCCGTTTACCTTCCCGCCGGAGCGGTACCTATTTATCTACTTGCACTTTGACGTGCTTTCGAACTGCTAGGTTGGCAGGAGCAGGGACCGAGCAACGGGAGCTCACCCCGTCGTAGGGGATTCGAACTGCCGACCTTCTGATTGGCAAGTCCTAGGCTCTGTGGTTTAACCCACAGTGACACCCGCGTCCCTGGCATGATCTCTTAAGAGTTCTTAAATGAAACTTTAACACATGGCATGATAAAAGTCTATAATTTTATCAGGACAACAATTGTTGTAACAATTGTTTTCTCAAAATCGATCTTCTGTACCATGAAAATAAATAAAAACAGTATTTAAATTTTTAAAAAGAAAGAAAGCAAGCATTAAGATCTTGAAGATGGCCTGAAGACTTTGTTCACAGATCAAGGGAAGCTGAGATGCTCCAGCCTTGCACTGTGATCAGCTAGTCAGCACCCTCATTTTGCAAGGCATTGACGTTTTGATGCTAGGATATCAGGAAATTTCAAAGCTATGGCAAGCAAGATAACTGCATGTTTTTGGCACATTGTAATCAATTCCATTCGCATTTTTCTGGTTTACTTAATACATTCAGTGGAATAGCATAGCCAGCATAAGATAATTGCCAATGAAGCTGAGGAGTTTGGCAAGAGAATACAGGAGGGGGAAAGGGCAATTTGTTCAAAAATGTCATAATGCTGAAATCAGCACAAGAAGAAATGGCGCGATTGCCGAAGAACAGTCGTATTGTTGATGGCGCAAACCCATCACATTGATACATGCCCTATGAGCCAAACGTGTGTATGCCTCTCATTAAACACAATCAAGCACACCCACCTGCCATGGTAATCTACGCTAGACTACTGCAATGTGCTTTCCATCATCATCATCATCATCATCATCATCATCATCATCATTTATTACTTATACCCTGCCCATCTGGCTGGGCCTCCCCAGCCACTCTGGGCAGCTTCCAACGGGATATTTGAAGACTGAGTGGAAACATATACAGTTGTACCTTGGTTCTCGAACGTAATCCATTCTGGAAGTCCGTTTGACTTACAAAAACGTTCAAGGCGCGGCTTCCAATTGGCTGCAGGAGCTTCCTGCACGCAATCGGAAGCCACATTGGACATTCGGGTTCCAAAGAATATTCGAAAACCGGAACACTCATTTCCGGGTTTTCGGCATTCGGGAGCCAAAACATACGAGTACCAAGGCGTTTGAGAACCAAGGTACGACTGTAGTTGAAAATGGAACCACTAGGCTTTAAAACTATGGTTTTCCCAGTAGTGATGTATGGAAGTGAGAGCTGGACCAAAAACAAGGCTGATCGCCAAAGAATTGATGCTTTTGAATTACGGTGCTGGAGGAGTCTCTTGAGAGTCCCATGGACTGCAAGAAGATCAAACCTATCCATTCTGAAGGAAATCAGCCCTGAGTGCTCACTGGAAGGACAGATCCTGAAGCTGAGGCTCCAATACTTTGGCCACCTCATGAGAAGAGAAGACTCCCTGGAAGAGACCATGATGTTGGGAAAGATGGAGGGCACAAGGAGAAGGGGGCGACAGAGGCCGAGATGGTTGGACAGTGTTCTCGAAGCTACTAACGTGAGTTTGACCAAACTGTGTGCCCCTGCGCCCCCGCCAGTGCAGGCATTCCAGCATATCAGCCAGCTGGTTTTAAAGTGGTGCCTCAGATTATTTCTGCTGTTTTTACAGTGGTACCTCGGGTTAAGAACTTAATTTGTTCTGGAGGTCCGTTCTTAACCTGAAACTGTT